AAGACATGATATACAATTTGCTTCATAAGTCTTCATCTACATTCATATCTCTCTATAAAGATATTTTCTTTGCTGATGATAAGCATTCACCAACAAAAGTGAAGGCACGCTGTTAATATTCCTGTCTTAGGTTGCAGTCAGATGAGTTATCATTGGTGTTTGAGTGCTGCCCTCTATTGGCTACTGTGTGCAAACTTTCTAAAAAAAAAAACCCAAACAAAACTAGATGACAGTAAAGACATTTTACATTTGAAGTATGATCATTACTTCAGAGGAATAATTCAGGTTTTATGGTTAAACATGTCATTGTTGTTTAAGTTTAAACCCACAAATGTTACGTTTGAAGAACTTGGAATATGGTACAACATCTTTCTTCACATGTCCTTAATAATGAATGCTTATGAAAATATTTCTCAAACAAGTTTTTGGAGAAACTTCAATTTATGTATATCCTAAATTGTATTTAAGTAGAATCTGAGAACAATTCTGCAAACCACTAGGTGGTGCAAATAGACAATGAAGAATAAAAGGCTACTGCAAGTTAAACTTCCCTATGGTATTGCATAACTATTCAACCAAAGGCTATCTGATTGATCACAATAGTTGTATTCCCATTGTCAAAATATAATTCTCAATTTGTCCTGTCTTTGCTACAACTTCATTTGTATATCTTGCCTATTTCCACATTATATTCTTACTGCAACGTAAAGACCTATATTCTTGTGTTTATATTTATTTTTCTGTTTTACAAGCACAGTAAAACTAAAAACATAATTAACATTTTTAATTGAATTGGGAATATGAACTGTAGGCCTACCATCGACAACAAATACACATTTAATATGTTACGCTCCTGGTGTTAATTATATTTATTTTATGTAAATAAAAATCCCAGTGCAGAAAGTGCAGATGCAGGCCTTTGAACAACCATCACTGGCCTCTTTGTAGTCATTTCCACCAATGCCCCCTTACATCACCTTTTTCCTTCATGTGTGGAATGCTATAAATGTGGAGGGGAGGGCAGTGACCGCATGCATTGTGTTCAGTTCAAATCCAATTTGCTTTGAAGACTGTACATCAAGACCCCCTCTCCTTGGCAAAATGGGATTGGCTGATGGATTTCCTCTTCTCCATACGATAGGAGGAAATATATGGTTATAACGGAGGGCTGGGCCGCCATCTCTCCACCCACATTTTCACCATTTTTTATTTGTGCCAAAGAGAGTCTCATATCAAGATAGTAATCGTCCCGCTCCATCACACTAGTATGCATTGTTTCCTTCGTGGGTGGCATTTCAATATTTGTAAAGATTTGACGAGAAGGCAGAGGAAGTAAGATGAAGGCTGAATGTATCGGTTTATGAAGGAAACATAAGCCTCATCCCAATACCCCTCCTCGACTACTCCTTTCTAGTGATGTGTCGGTCGCGAACCGAATAAGTGAACGACGGGAGCCGGCTCTCGCCCGCGAACGAGCCTGTTTTTTTTGCGGAGGGATCTAGATCGGCACGAAGGAACATTATGCAATGTGCAATGTGCATATTTCCCCGCTTATTACATGGCCACATTCTCAAAAAAGTAACGACATGACTCCCAATATTAATTGAAATGCTTTTATGGATTTAGAAAATGATTTTATTGATTTAAAAAATAGTTTTATGTATTGATTTAAATTGACATGCATCCGCTAAGAAAAATAGTCCGTTGTTACTGTTTGAACGTAGTAACGGCAGGAACTGCTTCGATAGTGTTTTTGAGGAGCTTTTTTTAATTACAGATTTGAAAACATCGTTGCTTGCTTTAAAAGTAGCACAATTCATTATGTCAAACCTTGGAAAGTATCTAGATATCCCTGCCCTAATGCAAAAGTAACTGGCAACTGAATATGTGTCGCCGTTTGATGTCTATGTCTGGACCGCTGCGTAAAAAGGAGAGTTTCTGCCCCATTACTTATCTTCTTACTTCTATAAGAATAAAACACGGAGGACGGAGATCTCTTTTTGTCCCCCTCTTCTCCCCGCTGCAGCCTAGCAGCTGATCTCAAAGCACGCTCCCCTCTCCTGCAGGGGGGCATAGTCACCTGCAGCTTACAGAATCAGCCCCCTGCAAAAACAGCGCTGGCAAGCAGGGCCGTATCCAGGATTTCCTAAATACCGAGGACCAAACATGCTAGGGGGGTTCGGGGGATACCCCCCGAGATTTAGGGGATTTTCATGATCTAGTTAGGTGCTTTTGAAGTCCTATGGGGGGTCACACATTGGATAATATATTGATTTCAAACCATGTCAGTAGGCTGACAATGTCAGCATCAATTATTTTTGAAAGTGTAATACATAAGAATCAGTTGATTGTTACTATTAATGATCTGGACATGCAGAAGAGCTAAAATGATCACAAAACATTGTCAACATTCATTTTCCATGTCTCTCTCCTTTCCATGACCTGCAGCCTCTCTTCCATCTCCTTTACTCTCTCTGTCCTCTACTCTCTCTCTTTGTTCAACCTCTCCCTCGTTGTTCACTTTTTGCTCCTCCTCACTTGTCGCTCCTGCCAGTGAATTAAAAGCAATTCAGCAATTTAGTTCATTTCACTCGTTTGTTTGCATTCTTTTTTTTAATTTAAATCTGTTTTGTTTGATTCTCAAAAGAGAACAAAGATGTAAGCAAATTGTGTTTTATACAATTGTATGTTATTATGACATCATAACTGCAATATATGTATGTTTTAAAATTATGCCTATTGTAAATTAAGACTATTGTTATAGATACATAGATAGATAAATAGATAGATAAATAAATAGATGGGCTTATTAAGCCTACATTATTTTGTGTGACTCCAGTTCCTCCCTGACTTCCATCTCTCTCTCTCTCTCTCCTCTCTCTCTCTCTCCTCTCTCTCTCCTCTCTCTCTCTCTCTCTCTCTCTCTCTCTCTCTCTCTCTCTCTCTCTCTGCCTGTCCTGTCTCTCTCTTACCAAAGCTGAGCTTCGACTGATGTAGTCTTTTCATTATATCTGAGTCAGTGTAAAAAGAAAATACAATGTTATATCTTCAATGTTAGTGTGCATGTTGTCGGACGTCCACTGACTAACGTAGAGCGTTCACACAGGATCTGCTGGTCATATGATGTCCTGATGAACAGAAACACAAGCAGCCCGCTGGACTCAGATCTCTAGATACCTCATCACTCCTCCGCTGCAAGTCCGGGCTGCGGTGGTTTGTTGATACATGTCGTCTTCTTCTGTTTGCTTTAATCGAGGCTACGTAGTTATGCAGCCCCCATGGTCAGTAAATGGAAGTACTTCAAAGAACCCCGTTTAGTGCAATTATTTCACAAGTTTTGTTACACAGCTCGGAAAATATTACCGAGGTCCGGACCTCGGTGACCTCAATGGTAGATACGGCCATGCTGGCAAGAGCAAATAGAGCGAAATGAGGCATGGCTAAAATGCAGGATCTTTTTGGTATTTTGAAAAAAACAACTATATTTATATACTTTATATAGGTCGATACAGTAGCCCCTTTTTTTAAATAGTTTTTATTCTTTCACACACACATACGGGTTTTGGGCCGAGGGCGACACCGTACTTCCGGTATCCGCCATTGCACACGAGGTGCAAGCAGAATATCATAGTCTATTGCCTTAATCAATATAGTCAACTCTAAAATACCACATATATGCATTGGCATGATAATATTATTGTGACAAGTGGGGTATTCACCTGGTGTTTCCAGAAGATAGACGTAGATGCGGCCAAAATCGACCGAAGGCCACTTTCGAGGGTCGTAATTCCATACATTGTAAGGGCAATCCGACAACCCACACAGCTCTAGTTTACGCTGGTAACGACCTAGAGCACACCCCTCAAGTCCAGAGATGTAATCCGAAGACATGCAGCGATTTCTTCGGTCGTTAATTCAGAAAAAAAAACTAGTGCGCTCTGCCTGGCTACGTTAGCTAGCTGTTTATATTAGCACCTCCAGGATTTTTGCACCTCCAGAAAAATGGCGTGTTTATATATATATATATATATATATATATGGCGCGCGTTGCATTGTGGGTAGCTCGTGACGTCACTGTGTGTGAAAGAATAGGTGTTGCTATCTGTTTTGTGTAGCGTGGTTATACAAGCAAGTCAATGCATTCATTGGGGGTGGTATCAGAGAGTTACACAGGTCTGTAAATGCAATGAAAACAATTGGCCACAGCAAATCGTTTATATTAAACATGTAATTTTTACTTTTGAATACTTCAGTACAAAGGATGTATTGAATAATTTAAGCGATATATGTGTACATATATAAATCATTAGTCAAAACAGGGCTACATTTGATTGAATTAAAAGGTATAATATGTGGTAAACTGAAGAGCCGTTTGGGAGCCGAAAGAGCCGGCTCTTCTTGGTGAGCCGAGCCAAATGATCCGGCTCACCAAGAAGAGCCGGAATTCCCATCACTTTCCCTCACTCGCGTCCCTTCCTTGCGTCTTAGCTCCGCCTCTGTAAGATGCGAGCGAGAGACACGAGGAGGTGACGCGAGGACAGAGGAGTCCTCAGGTATTAATTGGGATGTCCTCGTTCACTCAAACGTTCAAACGTTCAAACGTTCTTATTATACATCCATGGTCAAGTCCCGGAGGAAGGGAAGAGAGGAGTCTAGGAGGGATGAGGCTATAGACATTATATAAAGAGTGTAAAAAAATAGTGCAATTATTGATTTTTGACACAGCTACCACGCATGCTCACAACGAGAACGTCCGTAACGTTTTTTAAGACGCCTTTTAAAACGATTATTTGCATACCTTTTTGTTATTAGAGTAGGCCACTAACACATGAAATCCCTTAAGATAGGTTAACAACAAATATATGTGCTACAGCGATAGAATAAGGCCAAATGGGAGACATTATCACCGACGCCTAGCTAGGATTACGACGTCCTGTGCTCCTTTGACGTAAGCGTTGAGGAGAAAGTGGTCAAGCAGTAGATATCTATCTTGTTGCGGTTACGTACTCTTTGTTGGATGTTCGCGGTGGATGACAACCGTCCAGCCCGTCTCAACAACAGCAGCAGCAGCAGCGGCAGCAGCGGCGGCGAGGCAGCAGTGTATTATCATCGCAGCAGTCGAGGGGAATGAAGTGAACCGGAGGAAGGAGAGATAAAGGATTTACGGACACCGACCAAGCATGGCTACCCAAACGACAGTATCATGCACTGGATCCACTCTGTTGCAGCCAATCAGCGAAATTATCAATCTCCCCGTTGACCAGGTATGTTTTTGGATGGAGAAAATATCATTACATGAGCCGTCTGAATGGAGGATACATTTCAAACAGCAAATTCATCGTAGTTAGCTAGCATTACTGCACATAACGTTAGCAGAGGCTGATGATGCGCAGCGTTATTCTTCCCAACACGTTATCTTTGCCTCTTAACATTGCGGATTCACTGAACGCGAGTGCACAAAATCACTGTCGGTGTTTCACTATCACCATCAGCTAGCCCCCTGTCAGGCTACACCACAGCTAATGCCTTTTGTCTTTTCCCATCGATGCCCAGAGCCTAACCCAGTGGTTCTCAAACAGGGGTCCAAACCCCCCCGAGAGCCTTTGATCTGCCTGCCGTCAGATCACTACCATAATCTGGATTAGTTTGTTAAATTTCACCCATTTTGAAGTTAGCCCTATAATGGTCTGTATGTAGGCCGCAATGAACAATCTGCTATATTGAGTCGTTTTTTTTTTCATTTTTAGAAAACACAGATCTAATTTCATGTAAAATGGTTTACAAATATGATGGTTGAGAATCTGTAGTTGCTGATGCAATAAGAAGATGGACTTGGTATGATACTCATATGGTTAATCAGTGATCATTCAGTTTACATCCACCTGAAGGAGGAAACACTGTTTGGAGCAAGCCATGCAGCTCATATGTTATTATGAGGCAAAGCCTGTATTCAAGAAGTCCATGTAGTAATTACAGTTTGAGTAGTTTGTTTCAAACATGTGACTAGGGTTATACATTACTTTGCCAGTCATCATTGCTCATCTCTGAGAAAGGGCACCACACCTTCACTGTCATGCTTTTCACATTCTGAAAAATGGGTTGTGGGTAACCACTGTCATTGAGATAAGTCTAGAGTGATGAGAAACAATGTGCTAGTGGAAGATATCTTAAATGCAATCCATTGCAAATATGGGTGCACATTTTTGCACTGCATATTCATGACACTTTCACATTCACAGGTTCAACACCTACACCATTGTACAGGCGTATGCAAAGTACATATCATAGCCTGATTTCAAAGTTTACCAGAGCCTTTATTGATGTGTGGAAGCATCCAATCATGTCTGCATGGATCAATTTATATTAGACAGGCTTCTTTGGGAAGAAAAACAGATTTGAAGTGCTACAATGGTTTGTGTGAGAAGAGGTATCCCCTGTTTACTACAGTGGTTTCCAGGACAGTGGTTTCCTCCAATTACATAGGAAGCTTCAGCTTTTTTTATATGGTGGAGTCTTAAATATCCTTCTGAGTTATTGCCTTGATGCCTACTGTGCTAGCCACATAGTATTGTTTTATGTAAGAATCAGGTAATGTTCTCATGTACTGAAAGTACATTGTGATCTGGAATGATATGTTCCAGTTAGGGGTGAAAACCAGGGGATACACTTCTGTCCCCATATTACCAACATCAGTTTGTGTAACCTTTCTTGTACATTGCCACATTGATTATTTTTCTAACAAATGGACTTTCTCTTTTCATTATACGAAAATGAAAGCAAAAAGTCTGTGCATCAGCCGCAGAATCACTCGTTCTTATCGTTAATCTTTCCTTACATGCAAGCCTCATGACTCACTCTTCCTCTCCCACTGGGCCTCAGCAAAGCCTTGTTGTAAGCACCACGGATTATAAAGGTGTGTTTGGTGGGATGTGTGTTTTCTCAGCTGTGATTGCTCATTTGAAATCATATAGAAAAATTGGATGTGACGATATTATAAGAAATGTTCAGCATTTTGAATTGAATAATGCCAATTCAATTTGACCTCATGTGAACTGGAGACCAGCAGCATCTTAACGCCATGTCTTGTCTTGTTGACAAAACAATAAATCTGCTTGGCTGGCTTTCATCTCTTCATCGTACCTGCATATGCAGACTGGAATGTCTGTCCACCCTGAAGTGCTCCAGGCAGTGTTAGCAATGCTGCTCAGTAAGGACTCGCTGCTCAAAGAGATCTGTTCGGAATCATAAATACATTATTTGACCTTGAAAGGAGTTCAAATGCATTCATTGCTATGCCTCTCTATTAAGTGGAACAATAAGAAAACCATACATCCATTTTGAATCTCATAGTCCTCCACTGTGCATTTCTTTTAATAATAATGAAGTATTACATTGATTTAAATGATTATAACATGGCACTTTGTAAATGATTGTTAGACAACCTTATCAGAGGCACTCTCTAAACGGAAAGACAACCAAAGCTTTATTAGATGAACTTGTGTTTTAAGATGCTACATTTATAGCATTTCCCTTTCTAACTCAACATAATAGCATGTAGCAGCCTCATCATCTGGCTACCCCATAATTCTACATTGTTACAGTTTAATTATGAGCTACATTGCTAATTCCACTCCTTGGCTTGACCGTGGAGTCACACTTTCTCAATCTTCAACAATAGTTTTTGACCCTTTTTTTTCACCAGGCCTATGTCTCAATGACAGTTGTTCATGCCCTTTCCCTCAGTGCCATACCACTGCAGTCAGAGGAAGTCGACATATAGCCAGGAAATTACCTGAAATGCACTCACTGTGTCTCGCTTCTTTCCATTTAAGTATTCATAGTGGCTTTCTGAGTTTCTCTTTTGGCTCTGCTCAGTTTTTTATCTCTATTTGAATAATACTGGCTGCGTGAGAGATACTATTACACATGATACTGATAAACATTGGCCCCTTTGCTTTGTTGGACAGGTGTCACCCTTGTGTGACAGTGTTGTGTCTGCCAACTGGATGCCCTACAGTGCCAGGGCCGCTGTCAACACCATCAATACAAATCAATACGGCCGCTCAGATACAGTACGATCTGTGTGGCCCACAGACATTGACACTCCTTTTGATGAAGCTGCTACAGTGTGGCACCTCACTACTGTGTGTTGTGAGGACTCTGTGTGTCCCCTGGGAGAGAGAGGCCTGTGCACTGGCCTGTGTCAGAGCTATAATAGGGGCTGTGAAATTTGAACTGACATTCTGCTTCTCCCTCTCTCTTCTCCTCTCCCTTTCTTTCTCTATCTACCACACAATGCTTGTCCCCTCTCAGTAACATGCTGTTGCTGTTTTGATTAAGTCCTCATGCATTTGTGTACTCCTCTAAAACCTCTATGCTGCTCAGGCACTCTGGCTCAAGAGTTCTGGTATGGAAAATATGGCTTTAATAACACCTCCTGATCCCAGGCACCCCAGATTTAGTTGGTTTATATCTGCGAGTCAAGTGCTGCTCTTAGTTTGGAAGACATTGATTTTGTTTTGCTACTTTTGTTATCTCTCTGGAAGTACAACATGTACAAATGGTATCCCTTATGCAATCATATTATCCTATACAGTTTTGCTATTTGACATTTAAACATAGGTATAAGAAAAATATCAATAGGGAAATAGTAAAATAATATTTTAAGAAAAAGAGAAACAAATATACTAACAAATTGGAATCATAGCAAATTAAATAACTAAACATACTCATATATATTTCTGTTAGGGGTTAAAAGACACGTTTAGTTAATATTTTCAGATCACCACATATAGTTCTTTATGCTCTTTTTTCCAACAGCACATGCTTGGTATTGATCTATCTCAACCCCTTTAGGATTTAGCATAGCATTAATACACATTCAAACAATTAAGCAGAGTAGCCTGGCAGATTAGTTGGCATTTTAGGAGGCAGCTTGAGACTGAATCAGGCCCAAAGTATTGGGTGTAACATTTGCTGTCAATGATGCATGTTAATATCACACCAGTATGAGCCTGACATCATCTGTGCAGTGTCGCAAGCCAGGTTCCATTTCAGATCGTTGTCTATTTCCCAACTATAATGCTTTTTACAGGCCATGGCATCATGAGGCTCATTGTTGAGTTTCAACAACCAGTTGACTCATGCACCCTCATGGCTAGTCCTGAAACATTGTGTTATATTATTCATGACCCTCTGAAACACAAGACCTCATACCAGAAACCTGGGTAGTTGCAGTTCAAATTGGTCCCAAAAGACATTTAGCAATTAGTTTATTATTGATCTTTAAAGGTGGGGTAGGTCAGTTTCAGAAACCGGCTCGAGATACACTTATTGTTATATTCCATAGAATGCTCTTAACATCCGATAGCAATGAATATCTGAAGTGCTTTGACAAAAAATCCATAAAAAAATGTCATCTGTGGAAGCCGTGGAGCTGTAAAAAGTACAACCAATCCGTTTAGCCGCGCCGGCTAAACGGATTGGATTGCCGCCCTGTCTGTCAGCCTTCCATCTCGTGCACGCACAACTGTATCTCGTGCCCTCATTGGGCGTGCCCTCATTGGGCGTGCCCTCATTGGGCGTGCCCTCATTGGGCGTGCCGTCATTGGGCGTGCATTGCAACAGTACTTCAATGACTCGCCAGCAACAGGCGGCCACTTTCACCATGGCAGAGTTCGGTTCGACATCGTCTACTGGTGGCAAAAGAAATAATGTAACGGAGCAAATTAGGAACAAAAACAAAGTGGAAACTAGGAGAATTCAAACCAGAGTCAATATCGGAGTTGCTTTTCAACGATGGCGACTACTGATGGAACACACCTATGGGGGTTATTCCCTACCTTTATTCAAGAGCGTGGTATTTAAATTTGAGAGCATACTTTATGTATTTATTTCCCTCAAACCCTGTCCTCGCACTCAAATAGTGCCTGCTTGCACTTAGATGTGCTCTGCTTCTGCTCAAACTGTACGCTTGCACTCAGATATATTGCTGCTTACAGATTTGTTCTGCTCTCAGATTTATTATGTGCGCGCTCGAAACTTTTGTGCAACAATCCTGTCAAAATCCCTCAGCCAATAGGAGGCCAGGTGTCCTTGCGGGTGCGTTCGCTTTACTTATTACAGCGTCCCGTAAGGGCGGTTACTCTTTGGTTTGTTTTGGTGCGATGACAGGGTTTGAGTGAAGGAACTCAATAAAGTATGCTCTGAAATTTAAATACCACACTCTTGAATAAAGATAGGGAATAACCCCCGTACACACCGA